GTGTTCGTCCTGAGTTCTCGGAGGTCTCGGCCACGCGCCTTGTCTCAAGACCTCTCGACTTGCCTGTTTTGTGTTTGGTTTTGCACCAAACACTTATGTTTTGCTTTTGAGGGGCAGGGAATGGCTTGTTGGCCATCCCCACACCTCACCGGCCATGGCTTGAGGCCACCGGCCATGTTTTGTTGCCACCGGCCATTAGTATTGGCCGGCTGACACCATTTGTGGCCGGCCAACCATTGTTTTGGTCAAATTGTCATTTTTGGCTGGCCGACCACTGTGCATCTGCTTTTGGAAAATATTTTGTACCAGCTGTGATAACTGGCACCCACTTTGCACCCCCTCCATACACGTGTATGGAGGGATTTCACTCTTGCTTAGCTTGTTTTGTAAGCTTTGCAAGAGTGAATCTCTATAAAGGGAGGCCTTCTCCTCCCTCCTTTAGGGTTTTCCAAAAAAGTTCCAGAAAGGGTCTGAGATTAGGGTTTAGGATTTGTATCTCTCTATCTCTATATCTCTATCTTTTTCACTCTTGTGTGTGTATAAGGGGTATTTGTTCTTAGTTTTGCACTAGGACACCTAGTACCACACCTTACCTTGGTTGCTGAGGTGCCAAAGGGTTGTTCTTGAAGTTCTTGAGTTGATCTAAGCTTGGAGAGGCTACTGGAGCATTGTTCTTGAAAGAGGTCTTCAAGGGTAAGAACTTTATCCCTTTATTTCCCATTTTTGCATAGGCTTTTAGCCATCCTTGCATCTATTTTTAAGCTTAACTTATAACATATAAAAGTTCTGATTTTAAGTGCTTAAAATAGTTGTTTAAGGTTGTTTTGGTGTTTGGGGTTATTTGACCCCTCTTAGGCCTTGTTTGGCCTCATTTTTGTGCATTTTTTGTGAGCTCCGGGACCACCTTGTCTTGGACTCCTCACCACTGAAATCCAAAGGGATTTCAATAGTGGGGATGGTGCTTTAAGGCCCTAAGAAAGAGAGGGCCATCCCCTCTCCTTGTTGTCTTCAATATTGGCTATTTTAGCCTCATGTGTGAGCATCTTGTTTAAGTTCATGTTGGCCATGTCTTAAGTAGTATTTGGGCTTATTTTGTCATGATATAGCACTGTTTGTAATTGGTTTAGACACACCATGCATGCTTAGCATACTTGTCTTGTAATGCCATGAAATTGCCTTAACATGCTTTGTGCTTTGAGCCTTGTTTCTAGCATGATTTTGGCCTAGATTTGTGAAGCTTTTATGCATGTTTTGGTGTGTTTGAGGTCTGTTTTTGGTTGCTCGGGTCATCAATGCTTTGCTTTGTATAGCTACCATGCAATCTCCCTTGTAGGCCTTGAGTGTTGACCTCTCTAGCATGCTTTACTTGCTTTGTTTCAGTGGTTTGCAACCACTTATCATGTCATTTCAGTCCATATGGTATGCTTGTATGCTTGCATTTGATGCTCCTTCAATGCTTTAAAAGGTTGATGTCTTATGCTCCATGTTTGGACCCTTTTGAATGCCTCTAGGATTAGGTCATTTAGATACCATCTAAGTGGTTCTTGGGGCTTACTTTGGCATGATTTAGGATTGTTTTGGTTTACTTTGGTCATTTGCTTCATGTGTCACATGACCATAGTTTAAGTCCTTGGACTTTGTTGCATGCCTTGAGTGCTTTGTTGAGTTGGTTTGGCACCATCCTTAACATGATTTTCAGAGCTTGAAATGTATGCCATATGTCCATGTTCATCTCTTTTTAAGTGTGCTTAAAAGTCCCTCTTTGATGCCTAAGCTTTGGACCTTGTATGCATGCATGTTTGTATGCACATTAGCCTTCCTTTCCTTGACATTTGGCTGCTGTTTTGGGCTTACTTGAGAGCTGCCCAAACTAGTTTAAGTCCCTCCTTCGCATGTTGTTGCATGCTCGCCTTGTGTGTTGTTGCATACTTGGTCTATCGCATATGTCGCATGCTTGAATCATATTGCATTTGGCATGCGTTTCCTTTGCTAAGTTACTTAACATGTTGTCCATGTTGCATCTTGCATGCTTGCATGGTTAAGTCGCACTTTGCATGCTTGTTAGCTTGCATACTTGTTACATGCCTTGCATGTTTGTTTGTTTAGGTTGTGTGCTTAGTGCATATTACTTGCTTTCATGCTTATATTGCATACTTAGCTCACATGCTTAGGTTGCATTTGGCATGCATGCCTTGCCTCTTGAATCGATTATGATAGATGTTGGGTCCGTTTGTTGGTTTGGTTTGCATTACATTTGACATCAAAATGCATGCTTGGCTTCTTGGACCATCATGCATTGAAATGCGCGATTGGTGGTCTGAGGGTCGAGGACTATCCTCCTTTGATTCATGAACATGATAAGGAGGGTGTTGGTGCACACATTTGCTTGAAATGCATTGCCATGCCATGTTTGCCCTCTGCTGCTGTCAAAACAAGTTTCTGCAGGCATAGAAGGCTGACCGACCACATTTAGTGCCGGCCGGCCATGAATTGGTGGCCGAGAGCTCCATTTGTGGTCGATGACCATTTCCTCACGGCCGGTGGTGTTCCCTCTTGGCCGGTGACCTTCCATAGTGATCAAGGAGTGATGCTAAAGCATCCTTGGGACTTGTACAGTATTCAGAGATGCAAAATAGTGAAAACAGAGGCAGCTTGTGCATGGCGACGGATTTCCGAGCAAACCCGAGCACGCATGCATTGGACCCTCTTCTCGAGGCTGTTTTATTACTTTTTTAGCATAGTTAATTTGCTTAATTAATTAAGTGGTCTGTAATATTTAATTAGCTTGTAGGTTAATTAATTTTTATTATTTATTCGGTCTCTCCCAGAGAGAGCATAACTGTGTAATAAGTGTGGGTGCGTGTGTGCATGTCTTCCAACCCCCACCTCTTTCTCCCTTTTACTTACCTGCTTTTGATGGTTAGTATTAGGGCATATTTCAATTAGCATCCTTATGCTATGCATGCATGCGTGCATTCATTCATTTGTATTGCATGCACCGGGCTCGGTACATCATACTAATTGCATAGTATCTCAAATCTAACTTGAATACGTGTTATCTGTTGCATTTTACATGCCAGCCCTAGATTAGCCGAGCCTATTCTAGTTGTATTTTGTATGCGATGCATTAGTCATTTAATATGTACTTGGATCATACATTTGATTGCTAACATGTTCCTTGTTTTGGCTTGGAGTATGATGTAAGTATTTATGATTTAGCATCTCGCATGAGTGTGAATGTTGACATGACAGCATGCTTACCATGTGGCTATATGCTCATGTGATATAACTGCTTGAATGCCTGTGGGTGAAGCTTGGGTTGCTTGAATTGGGACAATTCGTTGGAATCCGTATTTTAGCCTACTTGCGAGTAGCAAAACTCAAACCATTGTCCAAACAAACGGATATGCGATGCTTCGTTCCAAACTAGGCGATCTAGTCTATACTTTTGTGTTGTGCGCATCACGTAGTTAAAGACTAGCTAATAACCGGAATAAAGATGCATAACGTTTTCAAAATGAGATATCATGTTTAGTAGTGGCCGATCTTTGATCGGGGGAGCGGGGGTGCTCATAGCTGACCTTCCCCAATCGTACTCAAGTTCCCGAGTCGAGGCAACTTTGGTGATGACGGACACGTAGCCTTAGGCAACGAGTCAGGGTTTCCTAAATCTCCCAAAATAAAATATTTAGGTGGCGATTCTGTATTTGGCAAAGTAGTCCATGTTTGGCACTTCTTTAAAAAAAATCTATTTTCAAAACGATTTGCCAGATTTGGACTCTTTGGTGATTTATCAGTCTCGCATTGCACATTGCGGGATCAGATTAAGAACCGTGACATTTGAGTCCGAACTATAGTGAACCCCAAATGAACAAAACCGCAGCTCGTTCTTCCCGGGGCGTTCGGGGACGTCTACAGTTTCTGGTGACTCCGCTGGGGATTTAGAGAACTTGACTCGAACTCGCGATATCTGCCAAGTCACCAAAGCTCCAGTTGTATCTAATTTATTGGAATTTGCTAGAGATGAACTTGTTTGGTAAATAAATTAAATTTGAATTTATTTAAAAAAATAGTAATTTTTAAATTTCCATCTTAAACTTGAATTTGATTCATTAAGCTTATGTGCACGTTAAACTATATAAAAATAAAATTATTTGTCCTCTTCTCGTAATGGACTCAATTAAAGATAAATCAAAATTCATTTGAAATTTGAATTTATTTAAAAAAAATTAATTTTTAAATTTTTTATCTTAAACTTGAATGTGATTCATCAAAACGGGATTTATGATGAACTCTACAGACTCAAACAACACCCTCTAATTCAAAATCTGGACAGAAAGGATCCCTCTTTTAATAGATAATTCACACTACAAAAAATTTAGTTTTTTGCGACGGCAATACCGTCTCATCAAAACAGTCTTTTTTTTTTTTTTTTTCCGACGACACCTGTTACCGTTGCAAAAAACTCTCTTATTTGCGACTGCAGTTCATGCCGTCGCAAAAAATAGCTTTATTTGTGACAGCATAGGTTACTATCGCAAAAAATGCGCATTATTTGCGACGGCAGTTGTTACCGTCGCAAAAAAGTGGCTTTTTGTGACAGGAAGGGGTGTCGTCGCTAAAAACCCATTTATTGGCGATAGCAAGTGGTGCCGTCGCAAAAAATCACTTTTTGTGACGGTAAGTGATGCCGTCGCAAATGCTTCTGTGTTATAAAGTCTATTTTCTTGTAGTGACAGTGATGAATTTTCTAACCTGTAACTACTGAATTGAACTAGAACTAAACTGCTTCTAATGTTTGATTCTAGTTTAGTTGTAAAGGTTTCACGAATTAGTTTGATTAGTAAATTGAAATCGTAGATCCGTTTAATTCGTGGAGAGCAGATTAATTTAATAAATAAACAAATCATTTTTTGAAATGTGAACATCCAATTCTAGTAAACCAATGTAACGCTAACGATCTGATAAAAGCAATTTGCAGAGTAGCTTGTGGTCTTTGATCTCTCATGCACACAAGTTTTGGAAAAATCTTGAAATTGCCAATGATAAAATATGTTCATAATTAACTAATCTCACAAATTACATGGCCACTAGTAAAAGATTGGGTTCTTGTAACATTGCTTGGTGATTTATGCATGTTGGATTGGAATTGGAATGGGTTTGACAATCAAAGAGGTCAAGCGATCTTTTGTGATCCCAATTGAAGTACCAATGCCATCACCATGCTGAAATATGCTTTGTGCAGTCCTGGCCATGTTTAATGGCATAGTTACTATGGACCTAGCAGGGTGATGACGGTGATTAATCTTAGCAGATGCCTCATTAAGTTTCTTCCATGAAAAGCTTTTTAGGGCCTTAATGCGATCTCGTGCTTCTTCTTCTGAAACTCCTTCCTTGATCATGCAACAATGTATGGATTTGGCCACATCCCCTCGCTCAATCTCATCCTACAACAATCAACACAATGTAGTTAGTCTGCTTAAAACTATGATCTTCAATGCTCAAGTCAGTAATGTTATAATGTTCATATTTGGATATCCATATTTTATGTGATACTAGTAAGAAATAAAATAAGAAGTGGAATTAATATGATTTAAGCGCTACATCAAATGCGGCCCAAATTTACAATAATATTTTGGGTAGGCTAATTTGACTTGTAGTTGTTGTTGTTTTTTTTCTATTTTTTCTATTATTTTTTTTAAAATATTTGTTTTCATCTTTTTGAGAAAAAAGAAGCATATTTAATAATAATCCTACATTCATGACCTATGGACCATTTAATCCCATAAATATTTTTATGAACTTATAAGTCTAATTATCCTGCATTAAAATCTTACAAATAAAGCATATCCACAATAATACATGTATTAGAATGATGTCCTTTTGTGACATTGAAAAAAAAAAAGAAAAAAGAAAAAAGACACACACACACATTTGACAAAAGTTTAATAAAACAATAGTGCCCAAACATCCACTGTCACAATTTAAAAATGTCAAATTTGGTAAAAGTTTAATAAGATAATTTTCTTATTGCATTTTAAGAAAAATTACACATTTGGTAAAAGTTTAACAAGACAACTAGAATGATGTCCCATTATCATATTTTAAAAATGACAGATATTAGAATGATATCCTATTATCACATTTTAAAAATGACACATTTGACAAAAGTTTAATAAGGTAATAGTGCACACATAAAGCATATCCATATTTGGAAATCTTTTAGAAATATAGTGAAAGGACCTCACAGTGTACATTTTCAAATTCTTGTGACTTTAGTCTACAAGAAAATTCATGGGACTTTCCGGTAACAAAATATATTTATTTTTGTCTTGAAAATCATTTTTAAAAATTCAAGAACTTTTAATTCTTTTTTTATACAAGTCATTTGATTTAAGAATTTTTTTTCAAAAATCTCTTCTTGTTTTCAAAAAAGAGAAAAAAATAAATAAATAAGCAACGAAAAAAAAAGCCTTTAAAGATTTGAAAGATTTGATTACAACCCTTTTGTGTGAGTTAATTGCACATGTATTATAGGGTGTACATTACCTTGGAAGTGCCCAAATCATCGCTTAGTCGGGTAATGAGAGATGCCCAGTAAATTGCATCAGAACTAATCTTCAATCCATCAAGAGAATCTAGAGTTAGGGGGAACCCACAGAAGTCCATGAATTGTCCAAGTACTGATCCAATGTTGGAGTGTACCCACTGTAGAACCACCTTGCTTCTACTAAATATGATCTACAAAGATTTGTCCACTGCAATTTCACATTATTAATTGTCACTGTTTTTCTTTAATATCATAATAATTACATCCAATTGGATAATCAAAATTCAAAACACATATCCTTAAGCCTAATAGAAGAAAGAACACCATAGTGGAGAATAAATAACTTAAGAAATAGCCCAGTGATAGAGAAAAAAATTATTTAATCTTTATCTTTGACAAAGATTGATCATCTGATCTCTCAGTTAAAAGTATACAAATAATTCTCCATCAAACGATCTCTTGAAAACTCAAGCTTTTCTTTGAAACCCAAGTCTCTCCACCACCTAATGAATTAAAATCTTCAAATATTTTAATATTTGGACTAAATTAAATAACATTATACATTCGCAAATCAATTTCATTGGTTGCACAAAAATGAATTACAAAACTATTGGGCTCACACTTGGCTGTCTGTTTTCTGCAAGGTTAATAAATATGCTTGAAACTCACTGTCTTGGTGTCTAATGGTAAGAAATTTTGTAAATATCTGTTTATGTATATTAATTTCTTAATCATAATCATCGATCTTTGATCCATCAAAGTAAGCATTTGTGTCAGAGTAAAGCTTACTTTGATAATTCTTGGACTTCTTGCTGGTGTACTGATTGCACTAGATTGTAATCCAACTTTGCAAACTTGAGCAAAACAGAGGGCATTGAATCCTCCATGAGACAGAGATCAATGGAGTTCCTTGCTTCTAACCTTGGCATCCTCCAATGGAGTGGGATTTCCAGTGACTGTTTCACTTGCTCACCAAGTTCAATCCCCATCTTCCCAAATGATGAGTTTAGGTGTCTTGTGCTGAAACTATAGGCTTCTTCGAAGTCATCTTCACTATCCATTCTAAGGTGTGTAGCCTCATACAAGCTCACTAGTCCTGCCACATCCTCCCTCAAGCTGTCCACGAATCTCCCACTTCCATCTTTGAATTTGTTGAAAACATCTGGTTTTAATCATGATTCCAAAGTTAAAAAAGTTAGATACTTACATGTAGGTCATAATAAGTGACAGGTCAGTCAGGTGCCATCTATTCTGCCAGTGCTCTCCAGCTGGTTACCAAGCGGACAGTGTGGTCGGAAAATCACCCACACAAGAAGATTGCAAGGAATACTATCCCGACAATCCACAGGATTTGATTTTTAGCAGTTGTATACACTTTTTAAAACGACAAATTATTAGATATTGGAGGGGCACCATGTATCTTGTCCCTAATCAATCACCAATTACCATACTCCTTACCATTCTCGCATTATAAATAATAATAAAAAAAAGTGAATCTCACCCTTCTTTATCAATCACATTCGATTTGAAACACTATGTGACTGTGGTTCAGAGCACCAAATAACTTCTCCTTGCAAAATGCCATATGTCATCAGACAAACACTGCACGTTGAAATGGAAAGGCCTCGAATCTTTTGGCTCACAATCATTGAGAGATGATTGTGATTTTATTAGATGTCTTAAGAAGGACATGACCAGCCACTTCCTGAACCCTCCAGTCACGACATTAACACAACAGCTTTGATATAGACATCCATGAACATTTTTGATGTCTAATAGATCTTATAGAAAAAATTTGTCATAAAAAAAGTCACTAATTGTAAGTTTTAGCAACAATTTATAAAATTTATGACAAAAAAAGTCATTAATTGTCAATTTTTAGCGACGTATATAAGAAATTGTCACAAAAAAATTATTTTTAAAGACAATTTTACCAATATTTATGACCAATAGTTTACCCAAAAAGTTATAACTAAAGGACCCATATATAGAATAACTGTCTGCCTATGCCTCTATAGCATAGTAGATCCTATGTCTTCATATTTTTTCCTATTGTTTCAAATTCTCTCGCAACAACCATGTTTAAATATTGGTAAAAAATTCTGTCTCAATTCATTCAACCATCTTAGATCATATGTTGAAATTTTTGCATAATTCTACAGTTGTGGGTGAATTAAGACAAAGAGATTGGGTGCATTTAGTTTGGTTTTGAAAGATAATTTTGTAAAAAGAGTTTAAAATTTTGAAAATTTGTTTAATTACATATTTTTAAAATAGTTTTTAGAAATTTGAAAATCAAAAATTTATTTGATTTTGAGTTTTTAAAACTAGTTCAAATTTTTTTTTCTCATTTTATTGTCTTTAGAAATATATATTAGTCATTTTTTTTAAATGCACCCAATCTAGATGTATTAAAAAAATATTTGTGAAAAAATCTAAAAAAGTTATACAAAAAATAAAATATATATACTAGAATTTTCTATTTAGTGGATTTTTAAAATATTTTTTTTATAAATATTTTACTTTTTACATATTATCTAAATTAAGTAGACCTAAAAAGTATTTAAAAAAATACTTAAAATTTAAAATTTTCACTAAAGATCCATTCCCCTCCCCCCTCCCCCACAAAAAAAAAAAAAAAAAAAAAAAAAACTAAAACTCTTTTTAACAATGTGACTTTAGTCAACAAGAAAATTCATGGGACTTTCCAGTAACAAAATATGTTTATTTTTGTCTTGAAAATCATTTATAAAAGTTCAAGAATTTTAATTCTTTTTTTATACAAGTCATTTGTTTTAAGAAAAATTCTTCAAAAATCTCTTCTGTTTTTTTCAAAAAAGAGAAAAAAAAAATAAGAAAGGGAAAAAAAGCCTTTAAAGATTTGAATGATTTGATTACAACCATTCTGTGAGGGTTAATTGCACATGTATTATAGGGTGTACATTACCTTGGAATTGCCCAAATCATCGCTAGTCGGGTAATGAGAGATGCCCAGTAAATTGTATCAGAACTAATCTTCAATCCATCAAGAGAATCTAGAGCTAGGGGGAACCCTAGCATCAGGTAAGCATGGGTTATTGCTGCAGGGCCACCCACAGAAGTCCACGAATTGTCCAAGTACTCATCCAATGTTGGAGTGTACCCACTGTAGAACCACCTTGCTTCTACTAAATATGATCTACAAAGATTTGTCCACTGCAATTTCACATTATTAATTGTCACTGTTTTTCTTTAATATCATAATAATTACATCCAATTGGATAATCAAAATTCAAAACACATCCTTAAGCCTAATAGAAGAAAGAACACCATAGTGGAGAATAAATAACTTAAGATATAGCCCAGTGATAGAGAAAAAATTATTTAATCTTTATCTTTGACAAAGATTGATCATCTGATCTCTCAGTTAAAAGTGTACATAAATAACCAACTGATCTGATCCAGTTGATTGTCATTAGTTGAATACAACAATCGGTTTTTGAGGGGGGAAATTTGATTGTCCATGACTACCTGAAAATTTTGGTCTCAGCCGACCAATTATAGTTAGCTACGTTGATAAAAGTGGGATCTAAAATCCCACCTTTCAATGTGACATACCATGAATAATTGATAGTCTGGAATCATCAAATAATTACATGTGATCATTATTGCACAAAAAGACCAGATGCATTATTAAGATAAATAACAGAACTGTCCATCTTCAAAATTTTACCTGTTCCTTAATGTAGGACAGAACATCCAAGCCATGGTTTTTCAGAACATCATATGCAATTTCATTTCCAAAGTTGAACATAGCCAAGTAACATATCTTCATGTACTCTGGGAGCTCCTCCATGGCCTTAAGGTCCCATCTGTTGAATTAATTAAGACAGAGAGGTACATAAAATGCTTGAGATTTATGTAGTTAATGAAAAAAATTAACAATTTTTGTTGTTGTTCTATATCATACCGATTGACTGCATCAGTAAAAAGTTCAAGCTCATCTAGCGATCCGTATATATCATACATGTCATCAATGGCTGTTAGTATGCAGACAAATTTAGTAAGGCATTTCCTGCATTTGGAGAACTGGGACTCGAAAACAATTCCCATTGCCCACAAATAATTCTCCATCAAACGATCTCTTGAAAACTCAAGCTTTTCTTTGAAACCCAAGTCTCTCCACCACCTAATGAATCAAAATCTTCAAGCATTTTAATATTTGGACTAAATTAAATAACATTATACATTCACAAATCAATTTCACTGGTTGCACAAAAATGAATTACGAAACTATTGGGCTCACACTTGGCTGTCTGTTTTCTGCAAGGTTAATAAATATGATTGAACCTCACTGTCTTGGTGTTTAATGGTAAGAAATTTTGTAAATATCTGTTTATGTATATTAATTTCTTAATCATAATCATCGATCTTTGATCCATCAAAGTAAGCATTTGCGTCAGAGTAAAGCTTACTTTGATAATTCTTGGACTTCTTGCTGGTGTACTGATTGCACTAGATTGTAATCCAACTTTGCAAACTTGAGCAAAACAGAGGGCATTGAATCCTCCATGAGACAGAGATCAATGGAGTTCCTTGCTTCTAACCTTGGCATCCTCCAATGGAGTGGGATTTCCAGTGACTGTTTCACTTGCTCACCAAGTTCAATCCCCATCTTCCCTAATGATGAGTTTAGGTGTCTTGTGCTGAAACTATAGGCTTCTTCGAAGTCATCTTCACCATCCATTCTATGGTGTGTAGCCTCATACAAGCTCACTAGTCCTGCCACATCCTCCCTCAAGCTGTCCACGAATCTCCCACTTCCATCTTTGAATTTGTTGAAAACATCTGGTTTTAATCATGATTCCAAAGTTAAAAAAGTTAGGATAACTAGGTCATAATACGTGAACTTATTGTCTAATAGATTTTATAGAAAAAATTTGTCATAAAAAAAGTTACTAATTGTAAGTTTTAGCAACAATTTATAAAAATCATGACAAAAAAAGTCATTAATTGTTAATTTTTAGCGACATATGTAAGAAATTGTCACAAAAAAGTTATTTTTAAAGACAATTTTACTAATATTTATTTTTAATAGGACTTGATGGAAATTAAATTTAACGATTATGACCAATAATTTACCCAAAAAGTTATAACTAAAGGACCCATATATAGAATAACTGTCTGCCTATGCCTCTATAGCATAGTAGATCCTATGTCTTCATATTTTTTCCTATTGTTTCAAATTCTCTCGCAACAACCTTGTTTAAATATTGGTAAAAAATTCTGTCTCAATTCATTCAACCATCTTAGATCATATGTTGAAATTTTTGTATAATTCTACAGTTGTGGGTGAATTAAGACAAAGAGATTGGGTGCATTTAGTTTGGTTTTGAAAGATAATTTTGTAAAAAGAGTTTAAAATTTTGAAAATTTGTTTGATTACATATTTTGAAAATAGTTTTTAGAAATTTGAAAATCAAAAATTTATTTGATTTTGAGTTTTTAAAACTATTTTTTTAATTTTTTAATTTTCGTGTTTTGTTATGTTTAGTAAACTTTTTTCATATTTTTCAAAAAAAACCTTTTTTTGTATTTATATTATTTTATATTTTATATTTTTTAGATGCACCTAGTCTTAATATACTTTTTAATATTTCTTAGTGAATTTTTATTTAGGGTTTTGTTAGTGGCATTAAATGAGTATTAATTGCCTCCTGTAAGAAAAAACAGTGAATGTATGCTATTAAGAAATGCTCATTTTATGGTTAGACCAACATACCCTTTTTGATATTTCTTTATTTTTTTTTATCTACTTTTCTTTTCTAAACTTTTTTTTCATTTTCCACATGTGCTATGAGTTACTCTTTTGATATGTCATAACATATTTTCCCCCAAATTAAAGAAATGCATGCCATAGTAATTTTCTTTTTAGTAACATAGACAAAGTAATAGTTCAAGATAATGAGCTCATTTGGTGAAATTTATAAAATTAAAATTCTTGTGAGGATTATTAGCTTGAAAATTTTATAAATAAATTGTAAATTTATTGGGTGCAACTTTGATAATATGTAGAAAAAAAAAATTGAACTTGTGTGGTTAAATAAATTAACACATAGTTTTTTGTTGTATAAATTTTCAAAAGTATTGTTCATATGATTCAAATTTATTAATTAAAAAAAATGTCAACAAAATTAAATTGTCAACTAAAAAAATAAATAAATAATGTAGAGAAATGTAAAAAATGGTAATTTTGGTCTAACTGTAAAACAAACATTCTTGAATACTTGTTAACAAAATCCTGTTAAATAGTTTAATCATTATTTTTCACTTTTTAAATTCATTCATAATGGTAAAAAGTATCAAACTTCTTTGTCCAAGCCCAACTCAAAACCCAACTCGAAGTTCGGCCCAATTTTCCCAAAAATTACCCTCTCATTCATAATGGTAAAAAGTATCAAACTTCTTTGTCCAAGCCCAACAATTACATAACACCACTCACTGTAAAAGGTATCAAACTCTCTTCGTAGGAGTTGAATCCAAGACCAGATAGTGTTAGATAATTACTAGGCTAAATATCCTAATTGATCCACTCAATCTAAATACACTTAAAAATTATAAATTTATAAATAAAAAAATTAAAAATCACTACATAGTAACAAATATACACAAAAAACTATAAAATTTATTTAAAAAATCAATACTTATTTTGGGAATTTTTTTGGTTTTTTTTTTTTAAACGTGTAAAAAAGTAGAGGTGATGGGACCTAAAAAAAAAAAAAAAAAAAAAACTACTTTTAACCTTTGCCAAAAGATACCTACTAACAAATATAAAAAAAAAAAACAAATACGTTTTTAGATCCAATTAATCTAAATACACTTAAAACATATAACACATTTTCTTCACTATTTTCAAAAAATATATATTAATTTGAAATACAAATTCATTTTATTTAAATTTTTATATGAATTTACAAATCATTTCTTTACAAAATTTCATCCAAAAAAATTCGATTAATTTGAAAATATGATGATATATTACCTACTTATAAATTTTGTTTGAAATAGTTTTGGAAATAGAAATAGATTTAAAATAGTTTTGGGAACAGTGATAAACAAATGAGCTTTCAATTTTGGGCTTTCAAAAAGGGTTTTGTTTTTGTCCTCTCAACTTGAAAGAATGTTTGGACTTATTGCGTCTATTTTGGAATTAATTTCAATGATTTGAACCTTTTACATTTCTAGACTTGTTGAGTAAAATATTTTTGCAAAAAATACAAATAATTGGATATCGGTAGCTATATATTCGAATCATATTTGTTTTACAAAAATGGACGACGAATATAATTTTAAGAATAACTATTCATTTTTTGTAATATAAATTTGATTCAAATATATAGCAATCGATGTCTAATTATCTTGATATTTTACATTAATATTTTATTTAGTGAATCTTAAAAAATGAACGGTTCAGATTATCAAAATAGACCTATGATAAACTTCAAAAATTTCTCAAATTCTCTCAGGCTCCGTTTGGGAAGAAAAAATCCAGGCTTTTTTGGCTAAAATAGCTACAAAAAACAAAATAGGCTATTTTAGCCACAAAAAACAAAACATCAAATCCAACCCATAATCGTTACAATCCTCTCTCACAAAAAAAGTCAAGAAAGTCAAAAAGTCAAAAAATACTTCCCAAACCAAGCTAAAATAGCCCAGACTAAAATAGTTAAAAAGTCAAAAAGTCAACACACTTCCCAAACGGAGGCTCATATTGAAATCCTAAACATGAGCTCCACCCTAAAAAAAAAAAATCATTTTCAAAATTCAAACCAAACACTGGCACAGTTTTTGAGATAGATAATTCTCATCCGTCAATTTCCAATTAAAAAATCAACCACTTCAAAAAAAATAAAATAAAATAAAATAAAAAAATAAAAAATAAAAATTTAAAATCAACCATATGTCAATTTCAAATATTTTAGAACAAACAAACAACTATAAAGGGGACAGAGTATCATGTGCTCGCTCTCTATAACTATATACATTGCATAGGCCGTGATCATTTGTCTCCAAATTATTATCCTTGTAATGTCCACTAATCTTTATAAATTATACAATTATATTTTAAAATTCTCCTCACATAAAACAATTGAGAGTGCATAAAAGCACAAAGAACAAGGAATTTGGAAGAGAGAATCCTGAACACGTATAACTGCCGAATTTTTCTCTCCATACGACGTCATTTTAATAAATTTGAGTCATTTAAATTACAAAATTTTAAACTACCAAACATTTTTCATCAAATAAAAATAATTAATAAAAGTGAGTTATCTTCTCTCGGGACCTGTATAGATGTGATGCTATGTTGTGATGTGAATTCTTTTTTAAAAAAATATGAGTAAAAATTATAATTGCAAAGTGATGAAGTTATAAATTTTATTTATACAATTCAATACATGATTTACTTGTACATCTATAACTTCACAATTATTTCTTCTACTCTATTTTTTTAATATTCTTCCCAAATTTTAAATCAATGATAAAATTTATATACATAATTTATAAACTTATCCATTAACACGTAAATATTTTGTAAAAACTTGACTGATATGTAATTTCCCCTTTTAAAATATTCCTTTGTGCATGTGTATAGCATATGTATCTTGTCATTTTTTATTTTTTTAACACATACGTATTTTTGTAATAAATATTATGTAATTTTCTAATAAAGTTATGACAACTTGTGATTCATAAATAAATTTTTGCATTTTGTAGTAGTAATATGTATTTGTGTGATAATGTTACATATTTTTCATCCAAATATTATTAAACCACAATATATATGATATTATCAAAAATCTATATTATTTTATTTGTAAACCACAAATTATAATAAGGTCTTGTTTGGAAACAGACTATTTTAATAACTTTTTGACTTTTTATGAAAAGATGTGCAAAAAAATAGAGAGAGTGATTTGACAACTTATAATAACTTTTTAACTTTTTAGATAAAATAGTTACTCTCCAAACGAGGCTTTACTCTACCAAAAAGCTACATAACCTGTGCGTGAGCCAAGGTTCTAAATATCGGCCGGTACGTTCCGTACTGGCCGGTTCGTACCAGAAAATGATAGGGCCGAGTCGGATACTCACCGGTATATCGGCGAGACTAAATTTCACGGCCGTAGCGGCCGATTCCCGATACGTATCGGGCTGAATCCGATACGTAAGCGATTTGTTGTCCGATACATGCCGATACGGCTGAAAAACGAGCAAAGCACAGTGTCTTGTGTATGTATGAGTGTGGATACTGAGCAAAGCAAAGCACGACATCCTTAAGACCTGCAAAAACAATTGAGAAAAGCAAAGCAATCACCTGGAGGAAAAGCAAAGCAAAGCACTTTGAGGAAAAGAAAAAATAAAGCAAAAGAACCTGCAAAAGAAAAAAAAATGGACCAAAGTACCTGGAAAAATAAAGCAAAAGGACCAAACCTCTGAAGAAAAACTCAGACTCACGGACTCACGGAATACATACACAGACTCACGGACAATAATACATACACAGACTCACGGACGGACACCATAAATGTGTTACAAACCTTTGAAGAAAAACTCAATTGGACCAAACCCAACTCCTCAATCAAACCCAAATCTATCTCCCAGGGGCTTCGATCTTGTAAAGTGTTGCAGCCTGCAGGGAGAAGCATCGAATCGAACCCAAATCCATCACCGATTTCAAGCTTCTTCGTTGAAGGTTTGGTCTCTCACTCATGCTCTGTTTGTTTTGTTCTCTCACCGTAT